GCAGCAGCAGCAACGGCTGCTTCACCAGCACATCCAGAGCCATACATTCGCATTCCCATCGCCATCATCATCGTCATGAATTTTGCAAATGTTGCCAATATTTGCTACAATTTCCATGGCATTGTCTGTGGTTCTTCTTCCACTTGGTTGCCTGCCGCGCAGGCCTTCTCCACTTGGCTTTTTGGCTTTGTATTCGTCGCTAAGAAAACTGCGAAGGTGGACTGGATTGTGCGCCGCATCGATTTGAATGTGAAATGTTGCACAGTCGTCGCGCAGTAAATCATTGCCAGTCGCATCGCCGCAAATATGAGTTAATCTCGTTGGATGCAAAAGCTGAGGATGTGTTTATTTTCGAGCTTGAGTCGAGAAAAAAGACGCAGCAGACTCATCCGACCAGCTGAGATTGAGTTGCAAGCGATTTGTGCGCCGCCGCTGTGTCATTAAGCGCTTGCGACTTGTAATTCGCGCAGCATTGTTGCATACACAACAGCTTGGCTGGCTCAAAACCAGCTTTCTTGTCGCTTAAAACAAATTATTTGGCATTGGCTGGTGGAGTGCTTGATTTATGTCACAGCACCTTGCGTTGTATGTGTCGCATGGTGTTGTCTGCGCGGGACAAAGATGTGGGTGTTGCAAGCAGTTGAGGATATTTATGAAGCGCCATAAAAGACACTTATCTAGATGCAGCTACAAACACACAAGTTTGTTGTCTGCGTGAGCGCAATAAAATCGCATAAATTTGGAATCAATTAAATTGCAGTTCTCTTGCAATTGTTGCAATTGTCTGCACCGAGCACTGCTACCGGCTACATCCCTTGACTACCTGCATTGGCCGCCTCACTCAGCAACCTCTCCAAAACGGTGCTTGGTCCTCACTTACATACTTCCTTTTTTGGGTGTTGGTCAATTTGTAAACGTGCCTTTCAGTCAGTCTGCTTTGGAGTGAAGTTCAGGTGTTCGGTGCGCTTGTGTGTCGAGGCGCATGCGCAGGCGTAGAATTTCATACATCGGCGCTGGCATTGTTTCGAAAGCCACCGAAAGCATTTGATATTCGAATTTTGCATAAAAATTTGGCAAAATCGTAGAAGGTGATTTTCGCGCACGTGTCTGCATTTATTAGCATAAGCAAAGGAATTTAGCCAAATATGTTTGAATTTAATTTCAGTTGCACCGAAAGCTCCCACATACAAGGCGATTTCTTTGGCCGTTATGTGTAAATGTATGTACATATATACTTAGATGTAAGTATGTATGTAGATTCATATTTTTACAACCGAAAAGATATAAAATTATTTTTACACCGTCAAAAATGTTCAACACAAGACGTTGTTTAAGGCCCACTCAATATTAAACCCGAGCGCAGTGGTTCTCAGCCCTATTTTCGTATAACACCAGTGAATAAAAAAAAATCTTCCACCAAAAATGTAATTACAAATTTGAATACGATAAATTGTCAAGAATGGTTGACTAATATTATTTTATAAAAAATTTTGAACTAAAAAAATAATCGGAGAAAATCATCTCTTGCACTCCCCTATTAAGCCACCGTTTTGTAAGAAGGTACCTTCGGATGATCGTCGTTCATACATATTTCATTGAAGTTTCAACATACACGTTGAACATACGTTGGATCTGTCAAAGGCGCTTGATACCGTCAGCCAGTCCACGCTTCTAGAAGACATTGAAGGCAAGAAGGCTTCCTCTCTCCCACAGGGACTCAAACGGTGGTCGGAAAATTATCTGAGTGGTCGGTCGACATTCGTGAGTCATTTTCAAAGACGAAACCAGCAAATCGAGAAAAATTAATCAGGCGGTCCCTTTCCCCTGTTGCTTTTTAATGACTACATATCAAAGCTCGCTCAAGCATTAGAGGGAGTTTCGATTGTAACTTATGCTGACGACTGCTCGATAATGGCGTCTGCGAATGGAATTGATGACTTGTGTTCGAAAGTAAATGGTTACCTCTCCGAACTTTCTCGCTTCTTCAATGCAAGGAGCCTAACTCTTTCCCCTGCGAAATCCCTGGTCACCCTATTTACCAAGGCCCTGCATGCAGTTCCTAGTAGTTCCTGCGAACAGACAACTGCTTGCAGAAGAGTCCTCGCCAAGGCACGTCAGGAGGCATCTCTACGAACTGACGGACGAAGTTCAGAGGTTCATAAAACAACCTTCGGACTCAACTGCATACCGACAAGCCCTTAACGGCATTCACAGGGAGTCGGTCTCGAGTTATATAGACTCCCGACCTGTGAATGCCGTTTTGGGCGCACAAACACGCGCCGTGCATGAGACAGAGCTGTATCTTCCTCGGGGGGACTCGCACCACAACTTCGCTCTGGCTACTGCAGCAGGCTAAACTCGTACCTGAGAAGAGTGAACGCAGATGTGCCCAATGAGTGTCCGGCTTACGAAGAGAGTCACCACATGACTCACGGCACCTCTTCGCATGCGTCAAATCCCCAGCCAGATAACGCACCTGTCCCTGGACAGACCCGGCGGAAGTTGCACTCTTCCTAACCCTCCCTTTAACTGAGCCAGACGACAACATTGATGGACAAGCCGACCCGAGCGGAGTTTGGTAGCCGCAACAACAACAACCATAAAAAAAAAGTAATAATTTAAAATTTAAATGATCTTACTTATAAACATACATACCTATACCATATATATTATATATGACATACATATATTTTTTTGCAAAGTGGCGATCCTTCTTTTAAGAATTTAAACGAATGCGATGTCCTCCTTACAAATTATTTTGTCCTCCCTTAGACGTTTTAAAAGTTGGCAAGCCTAGTGGTGACAGTTAAGTCCCAGTCCTATAACAGCGACAATTTTTTTTTTTGTATTGAAATGACTAAATATTTTTCCATATTCAATTTAAATATTGTTTTATCGCTAAGATTTATTTATTTGAGATAATTTTTGTTAGTTTGACCAATATTTAGTTATCGGACAAGACCCGACGTTTCCTACTTATCGTCCAATGGAACGAGCGTTTGCTAACAGCTAGCTGGCAGGTAACTGCAGCATTCGGCACTATTATGACCCAACAGGCATTTGGGAACGTTTCGGTGGTGGTCTCCGATAGACTATGTATAATTTTAAAACTTAAAACTGCTTGGAAAAACAAGTGTGATGTAAACTTGTTTTCTATTTTGTCTACAACTCATTGGAAATCAATTTCCTATTGGCCTCACTATACACCATGATCGTTGATTTAAGATCACCACACCGCTGTACTGTGTAAAATTGTTGCATACTTTCAGGCGTAGTCAGTGGGTATAGCAAATAAGGCAGCGGAAAGAAATACCCATTTACCAAACAAGAATTTTTAGATCAAGTTCTATCTATGTATGTAGATGGCTAAAAATTGTTTCGGCTTCCATGAATCATTAAAATACATAATTTCCCGGAGCCTTCACAGCTTGGTTTTTTTAGTAAAAAATTTTGATGGCTCTGAATAATATAATTCTTATCATTTACTCCTCAGCTTAGATTATAAAAGGCGAAAATAATCCAAGTTCTTATTGAAATCTCTTGTACAGTGGCGGTTTTATCGATTTCTAAACTTGTTGCCAATCAATGTGCTTTTTGCGCTATAAAAAGCTTTCGGGAGACATGAAATTCGCGATATTGTTCTAACAATATTTAAACTTTGAAGATAAATAATTTCATATAAGACTGTGTGCCAATCAATAACTTTTTCCCCGTGGTGAGGCGGGGTTGAAAAATTTACTTTGGTGTAGAAAAAAATTTTATTTGGCTGTGCCAAGTGTAGAGTAAAATTTCGACAGTTCAAAAACCAAACAAACGCTCGTGCGAAAACTCTATTATTGTGTGTTGCTGTAATTGTTAAAATTTATATTTATTTCATAACTTGCAGGTAACGTACGCCATTTTTGTGCTTTTTTCAACTTCCATTGCTGTCAAAATTGTATCTATAACCATGAGCTAGGTAAAATTCTGACGTTCGTTTTCACCAATGAGAAATGTTAAATTTTTAGTTTTATCCGTCAAAACTTCCTCTTTTCCATCAATTGGTACAGACCCTAACTAATAAAACTTTGTTGTTTTCTATATTTACGGAAAAAAACATAGGTACTCGCTTGAGCTAGAGGAAGCATAAAATATGTTTTTTTCCACAAGCTACTAAGAATAAAAACTCGATCTAAGTATAAACTGTGAGCATAAAGCTAACAAGCAACTATCAACTAAGTTTTCGGCGAACTTTTTGATAGAAACATTTGTTGAGGGTTAACACGGGCTATGCTGGAAGGAAAGAAATGTTTCGAGTAAACTTTGGGTTAGTTTCTGCCATTTCGATAGATTGCTGACGTAACGCACACATACATACATATTGAAAATAAAATAACACATTTTCTTGTTATCTTACAACTACATAGCTTTATTTAAAATTGTATTTGTTGCAGAAGGGAAATAAAATCGTATTAAGATGTCAAACAAAATTACATATAGCATTTATAGGGAAATAGTTTTTACAATATTTCTATGGGTAGTTTTTAATAGTACATACATAGATATTATTTCGGTTGGTAAAAATTATATGGCAAGAAACAAAACAAAACTAATCTTTTACGCTTTATCAATAAAATCGGTGCGAAATAATCAATCGTTTGCGAAAATAAAATGAAATTTTTGCTTAAAAGTTTTTAGTTGATTTTTGAGTAAAAAATATATAGCACAGCTTCTTGAAATGACGGTGATGCAAAAAAACGTATCACACGCATTTCTGTTTTTTTTTTGTGTGTTTTGTAAATTTTTGCCTAAAATCTGTTCATACGTATTTAAGTGCATAAAACACAATGCGCATGTGTGTGTGTGTGTGTGTGCACATGCAGACATATTTATATACACAATATATACAAAGAATATTAATAATGAGCACAAAAACTTGTTTGCCAATGGAAAATCGCCTGCAAAATATTTAAAAATTAGTTTCGAAAAAAAATAAATAAATAATTTGGTCTTTTTTAATTGTTGTTGTATCTTGAACTTAACCCTTACTTTTTGCCAATGCTGTATACACGCGCATATACTTTTGTATGTTTATATGTGTGCGTGTGTGTTAAGTGGTGAGAATGTGTTGTAACTTTGCGAAAACCCTGAATGACTTATTTTAAAATATTAACAACACAAGTGTGTGTGTGTTAGTGTTAGGAACATTTGCAACAATCAATATTTATGTAGTAGTACAATAGATACTTTAAAATAAGTTAGTAAATTTGTCATGTGGCCACGTTTGCTGCTCGCTGCTCGCTACTCGCTGGCGTCAAACGCGTCGAAGGCAAAATACAATAAATTCATTCGTTTACGAAACCACTTTCTATGCTTATAACTGACAAATACGAGTAAAGTTTTTGTTTTTTTTTTCATATTCAAAACTAAAAGCAAAACGTCTCTATGTTGAACTAAAAGCAGCGAAATTACCCCGCAAACCAAAGTTTCCGAAATCTTAGCGAAATATTTAAGAGTATCAGAAATGTCTTACGAATTCTGTAACGATTTGCTTACGAATTTTCAAAGAAAATCGAAAAGAAATTTCTGTACGATTTCTGAAAGAATTCTTCCCAGCGCAGCACTATTATCATTACTTTACCAATTTTCCTCCGAAATTTTGAAAAGTATCAAACTACATTTCATTTCAGACACCTATTTTTTTTTTTTTTTTTATTCTTTAAGATTTCCCTACTAGGTTTGCAGGGTAGCCATCAAATAATTAAGTATGTATGTATGTATGTATGAAATAAACTTTAAGGACGTCACTGCATAGTCACAATTCCGGCTACAATTATTGGGTACTTCATAAATTAAAGCATTCTTCCATTTCCATTAATTTTACTTTAAAATATTTTCACAGACTATCTGTAATCGGTAATCTGCGCTAACAGCCATGTTAACCACACAAAGTGAATACTTCGGTAAAAAAAAAAAATGTTTAGTAAATTAGTATTAATTGAAATAATAATAAATTCTTTGTTTCTTTGCAGACACAAAAGAAAAAACAAAGCTTCACAGACCAATTGCAGTTCGCCAGCCGGGCACAGTCGGACGCGGCCGGCGAAGGAACAAAAAATACTACATTATTACGACTACCTGGTTACTACTCTCCCGTTGCCGCGCCCGCTCGCCGTTGGCAAGCCAGCTGTTGCTGTTGGGCGGCGGCAACTGAAACTAAAATTCCTACATACAAACATTTTTCGTTACAAACTAAATAAAAATCTTAGATTACTATACATAATATGTAGATCAACTGTTTAGCCCATTGCAATTCTCGCTACAAACTTCAACGGTAATTTGTTCAATTTTCATCTCTGTTCTGTTTTTTTTTTTTTTTGGGTTTTGTGCAAGATTTTTGTTTTGTTTCTTAGTTATGCAAATAGTTACTGTTAATTTCTTTGCTTATATTGCTACGTTTTTTTTTCTGAAAATTTGTTAACTTGAAAATTTCGCTTATATTGGTTTTGTTAAAATCATCTTGCCGATATGCAAAGTCTCCGCGCATTAACATAAAGTTGCAATTGGTTTAATTCGTTTTACTTCGAATTCTACACTACGTAACTAAATCTAAGTATGTATATATGTATGTATATGTATGTATATCATTATGTATTATTATCGCTCATTATTAATTTTATGATTTTGTGATACTGCAGGTCACGACGCTAAGCCATGTGCGATCTATGAGGAGTGGCCTCCAACATGGCCGCCACTGAACTCGGCATGGAACTCGAGTATGCTCACGTACAGGCCAGTGACGAAGCCGACAATGCCGAAGATAATCAGGCCGATGTCCTTCCACAAGCGCCACTTGAAGCGCCCGTAGCCGGGTTCCTCGCGATACACAGCCAATTCGATGATCGACGGTATGATCATGCCGAGCGTACTAAGGCACACAGCGCCGATCAGCGAAATGAAGGGACCCAAGTTGGGTAACGCAACAGCAATAGCGCCACAGAGCACCTAAAGCAGGCAGGAGGAATTAATTAATATCAAAATTCGCACGAGCTACAATAACGGGGTTTGGACTACTTACCACCAAGGCAATGCGCAGCGCATATTCGCTTATGTTCTTTCGCTCCTCAGAGATTTTGTGCGAAATGCCCTTCCAAATGATGCTGACTGGCACATAGAACTGCAGCGTGAAGGTGAAGAAGATAGCGGTGGCAATCATGAGCTTCACAGATTGCGCCAAACTGTAAAGAAAAACCAGGTAAGCAGACGGTTAATGACAAGCTCAATCCTCAAGCCCATTCTCCTAGTTGTGACTTACATCGCATCCTTGGGCAGATTCAGCGTAACGCTGCCCTGTGTATCAGCGCCATATTTCAAGTAGCCAAAGAAGCCAACCAGCGTATAGAGCGAGATGACAACACCCATGCCGAAGTTCAATACCGAGGGACAGCCGATGAAGTGCGAAGGATTCTTCATGTCGTTCTCCAGCGACATTACTACACCAATACCTTCCAACGCAAAGATCACAGTGCCGAAGAAGAGTGGCCACTGCACTGGTGCCACAATGCCATCGCGTTCGTCGGGTGCTGGCAAATCGTCAAACACATAGATGAATGTAATCACAATGCCCACGAACATCAGCACGTTGGCGAACATCGAGAAGGGTGTCAAGAATTTCAGGTTGCGAATTAGGCACATTACCAGCAGTGGACAGGTGACAATCACAATCCACACACGTATGCTCAACGCTTCCGCCATGTACTCATCCAACACCGCCTTCACGTTCGTGCCGACAAATACGAGGTAAATGCAACAGCAGCCAATCAAATCGATCACCAGGAAAACATTCACTATGAAACGGATGAAACGAGACCAGCGATTCAAACCGGGCGGACCGTCGAGGAAGGCTTGCTCGGCCACATCGGCGAAACCCATCATGGGGATCTTACGTCGCCGGCAAAGTATGTGCGCGCATTTGACGAGTATGTGTACGCAGTAGGTGCAGAGGGTGCCGACAGCGAAGGTGGCCACCAAACCGAACCATAGACCGGCATTCATGAAGGCCATAGGCATGGCAAGGATACCCGAACCGAGTGAGCCCTTCAGCAGATGCACGAAGGTCTCTATGTCGCTGTAAGGAATATAGAGGGAAAGAGAAAATTATTTTAATTTTTTGTCACTCGAAGAGAGCATCTACATATATCTAATCCTATTTGTTTTAACTGAAAATATATTTTAAACGGAGCCTAACTACTTAACCACCAAAAAAAAGGCGAAAAACGCTATGGCCGTCACTAAATCTATTGATATATTTATCTTTTATCGATAACATCGTAATTATCGCTATCGAGATCTTTATCTGTTGCGATAGCCCTTCTAAGAGAATTCGTTAAGAAAAAATCGAGCCTCGACTCTTAATTTTTTTAATAGTTAGATATTAATCGATGTTCGGCAAAGATCTTCGTGTGAGTCGGTTAAAAAATCGCCTATTTTAAAAAAATATGTTGTAAATTTTTTTATTCTTCTTCAGACTAATCTATGCTTTTATTCCATTTTCCTTTAAAAATCGGTTTATAATCGGTTTCTCTTTTTGTAAAAAATTGTTTCGAATATCTCTACATAATTAAATACTAATGTGCCCTATATTTATGTACGATTACCTTTTTTATATGCACGTAAATATAAAGCGGGCATCGTGCCAAAAAAAAAATTGGTTTAGGCGCCAAGAAAAATAAATATTTTTGCAAATAATTGTTTTTGTGGATGTACACAAAAAAGCGCTTTACGTCAACGCTTTTAACAAAATTAACACATTTTTTTTTTAATTTAAACAAGCACAGCTTCTAAAGAAACCCCCTTTCAAAAGTGACAAATTTATATCTGAACTAAATAGTTTAATAGCTAGCAACGCCAATTTACATAAATACATCATTCCTCAGCTATTGATCACTCCCATGATGATGTCAACAGCTATCGAGGGAAAATCGTAAACCGATTTAATTGACAATTTTCAATGCTTTTTAATAATAAATCGACGCTAATTGTCAAAGGCTAACCGCAAAAAGTGTAAATAACGGGAGCAAAAGCACAAAGTGCAAAATGTAGTGCCAAAATTAGTTTGTCGATCAGCGAGGAAGTGCATAATAAGCATCGAGTGATCACGTTTAGTGGCTGGGCTTGGTGTGGACTGGCGCTCACACTCATGTGCTTAGAGAAAAATTCATATTCGCTCTGCAAATTTGCATTTATGCAGCTCACTTGTTCTCTTCGCTTTTCTTGCTCTGCTTGCGCTAATTCTTGGCGACAACTTCTCGCACATTTGCTCTGTTTTTTTTTTCATTACCAAGGACACTCACGAATTTTTGTGCCAATTTTCGTAGACGCCAAGAAAAAATTTCCGCTGACGTTATGTCGCGATCTACAACATGCCATTGCATATTTGTCTATACCTACCTACTTATATATGGCATGTACATACATATATATATATACGTATACATAAATACCTTCTTTGAATAGGATATATAAAAAAAACTGTTCGGTCAAGTGGAAAATTACCGGCACAAAATAGATCTGAATTATTTGCTACATTTTCATACTAAGTTTTCGCTTGTACAATATGTTGGGGAAAAGTTGAAAAACATTTAAATTTGCTAAAAAAGATACGAGGCTACCGTTTTCACTAATTGAACGGCAATGGCCGCTTGAAGTTCAAGATTTTGTAAAAGCGTTGACAAGGAAATTTCTTAAATTGAAAGTTCTTAATGAAAGCATGACAACCAGTTGAAAGGTCACAATCTGTTATCGATTTAAAATCTACATAAATACATGTACATTAAAAAATCTAAAAAATTTAGTCAAAATATATGCGATCGATGGGTCATATGAGCTCCAGGCCACAGCCATATCTCAAGAAGCTGCATGATAAATAGGCCTGCAACGAGGAACGCTCTTGTGAAGTCTTCGCCGAGTAAGAGTTTACTGTTTTTTTTTTTTTTTTTTTTTTTTTTTTNCCACCAGCCTCTCGATAAATGAAGGGCTAGCCATTGCCTTCAGTGCAACGGGGCTGTCACTATAGCCACGTAAACTTCTACCTTTGGTTTTATTTTTCACCACTTAGGACCGAAGATATCTAGGCTTTGAAAACCGCTTAAGGAGGCTTCAGATCCTTACTCAGGGCTCTAATCGTAACCTTCAGCTGGCTGTTACAACAAAAAACGATTTTCCTGAGAAGTTTGATAAATGTTTGACCCACCATACCACAAGTTGATAATTTATCTGATAATAGAGATATAGATTCAGATGAGGTTCCTTGTTGACAGACCCCACCAAAGACCTATTAAAATTTGCTAAAATAAGCCGCTGCGGCATTTTGTTCTGACATTTGAAACTGTCAGGTAATAAAGTAATCCGTATTATTCTCATTTTTGTTGTTGGTATTTCCGAACGAAAAATGACACTGAAGATGGCACAACGCCGAAACCGGTTTGTCTCCAAACCAAATTTGACAAGGGATGACGGAAAATCGTTCCACATTACATCATAATCCGTATTAGATAACCGAATTACCAAAAACTTCGAAGCAAAATAGATAAGTGTATTTATGAAGGAAGCCTCATTGGAATGCTCGAGGAGTTATCAGTCTGGGGATATGCACACTTTTGAGTGCTTGAATTAGCCTAAATTTTTAAATAGCAATCCGGCCGTTACAAAGCCACCACACATAAATTGCGGTAAATTTTTCGACGTTTAAATTTTGCTTTTGAATAATTATTTTTCGGAATTTAAATATATTTGCTGGTAGTTTTTAAACGAGCAATTAAAATGTGTTAATTATATGCAATATATTGAAAACATTTGCTTTTCATTCTCAGCCAAGCCGATCGCATTTAAAGAGCGCAATTATCCCAATTTAGACTAAAATAGATGGCCAATAAACAATAAGCTCTGCTCTGGTTTACATACATACATATAGTGCACACATGTAAACAAGCATATGTATATTTGTATATACAAATTGCGAGGTCTTGTGACCTTGACACTTTTCTGCACTTTCATTGATGAGACGCTGAAATGATTCGAAAATGATGCGAGTGGTGTCAGTCATCGGCAAAAGCCGCCCAAAAGTAAATCGTACAAACTTTTTCGATTAAAATTCTTTATCTACATAGTTACACGTACATAAATATATGTACAAAAGTTCTTAGTTTTCTTTGGCTCTGAAACATCTTCATCATCAGATTGAATTATATCTAAATAAAAACTCATAATTTTTTATATTTTTTTTTCTAAGAATTTAATACCTTTTTTAACTTTTTTCCTGCATTTTCAGTCTAAAAGCCAATAAATATTCAGCATTTCAAGGTAAAACCTAAGGTAAAAAAAAATTTCCAAAATTTACTCCAATTATGAATTTTCAATTTCAAAATGTTTAATCCCTGAAAACCTCGTTCCAATCAAGCGAAGCATTCCTATCTTTAAATAAAGTAAATATAATTTAAAAAAACAAAATGCTGGCAATACTCACGAGGTCGGATGATCCACTTTCCGGTGCTCGAACGGATTGTAATTGACATCCTCTTCGTCGCCTTTCTTTCGTGTCAACACCAATGGCAACGTGGATCCGGCGGCCTGCTGAGCCGGCACATCAACCATATCCGAACGTATGAATC